CTCTCTCGCTCTCTCTTGCTCTCTCTCTCTCAAATTAAAAAAAAAAAATCTTAAAAAAAGACAAAGGAATGTTTAACTGCATTACAAAATGTGTTTGTTTCCGACAAAAGTACACAATGAATAAAATCACAACACTTTTTAAAGTTTGATTTTTTAAACCATGACCCTTTTCTGTGGCATGATTAACAGTTCACTAAATAAACTCATCGTTATACAATTTATTCTTAACAGCAAATCATGCATCTGTTAGTCTCATCAAAATTAGGCAGTCTGAAACAAGCAGGTATAGAGATATAAAAGTGGTAGAAAATAACTTTCTTGTCTATCTTTGAATTGTAGAGAGCGTTTAGAAACCTGAATCTACTTAGCTGAGAGTTATGCCTCTAATTACTGATAGAAGGCTTGTGAAGACAGATATTTGGAAATAGGCACGGCGAAATCTTGGCAGCCTATCTCATGTGTCCATCTATGTGTCCAGCTGTTGCCACATTTCTGTGATTCTTCCTTGTTTTTTATTTGGTGGAGAGGTATAAATATGTAATTGTGTGATAGACTAGAAAAATCTCAAGGAAATTAAAAAAAAAAAACTTTTTGTTACATGAAGTACACCCAAAAAAAGGAGAAATTCATCTACGTCTCTTCTCTTCCCTCTGTCATTCTTCAACTTTTGGACCTAAAGTGACGCTTGCCTGGAGTGTGGGTGGGGGAGGGGTTGCCTCCCATCTCTTTCACTCTACTCTTCTCAAAAATGGGTTATTAGTCTGTTATGTTGGTTGGGATGTAGAATGCAAGTATAAAATAATGATGGTTTTTCTGTGAATTTTATGTATATTGTCTCATTTAATCCTCATGACCATTCAAAGATGAAGGCATTTTTAAATCATTTTACAGATGAGTAAACTGAGGCTTAGAGAGATTTCATAACTTTTCCAAGGGGCGTTCAGAAATTATAGGGTGCAACTTTGCGGGGGAGGTGGAGTGACTGCTGGGCTGAGAGGCACAAGCCATTGAAATGAAACAAATTAGGTGAATGTGACCCCAATTTGGTCCACAGGTGAAGGTGGCTTGGGCAACTCAATTTCGTACGGGTGGTATGTGTGTAAGACAAGATCCTGCATGTGCCAGAAAATGTCTTTCCTGGTGAACGAATCTTTTTCTGATCCCCCAAACCAAATCTGGTGCTCTTTCTCACATGCATGCCTTTGGCCCTTAGGCCATGTCTCCCTGTATTATGCATGGTTTCATATGTGCATTTCACTGTTCCCAAGTGGATTCTTTCTGAAGGCTGGCTCTGCATCTTACTCCTATTTGTATGCCTTCAATGCCTAGCAGAGCACTTGTCATATAATAGCCCTCAATAAACATGATTGAACTCAATTGAATCAACTGATTCAAATTAAACAACTATATTAAATTGAATCAGTATTTTCCTGCACTGGTCTATCAGTATTACAATCTTATCCTACTGGCTGCAAAATGCAAGTATAATGTAGCAGTTTTGTTTTTATGTTGAGGCTTGGGTTTTAAATTGTGTTTCCCAGAGCTTGTCTCTTTTTATGATCTATAAGAGAAAAAAGCTGGATGCATGAAAATTGGCAATCTTTAATTATAAAGACATAGAAATGCTCTTCGAAATGAAATTGGAATATCTATCTTTGAAAAATACAAAGATCAAGTGGCATGAATTAATGAAGCTCATCAATGGAGTCTGTTCACAACTTTGATGATTTAGGCTTAGAAATTATTATTTTACTATGATATGATGGATAAGCTCCCATGGTCTCTTTCACATCAATGAAATATAAATGTTAAAAAAATTGTGAGATCAGATCCAATATTATAAAAAAAAATTTTAAAGAAGGAAAAAGAAAAGAAAAAAACCTTTATTTTACCAAGGAGCAAGCTGAACTTAGTTTCTGCTTTGTCATGCCAGCCATGCAATCAGACCCAATGAACTGCAAAGCTCTGGTGAATGCAATGTTCATTTATAAAATTCTGATAAGAATTGATGAAGGGCATGGTGGAGTCATTTAATGTCATTTAATGACATCATCAGCATCAATAAAAGGTGAAGAGTCAGCCAACATGTTGGAGGAGAGGATACTAACCCTTATAAACATCATACTAAACTTTCAACTGCATTCAACCTATTGAAAATAAGCTGGTTGGGGGCACCTGGGTGGCTCCATTGGTTAAGCGTCTGCCTTCGGCTCAGGTCATGATCCCAGGGTCCTGGGACTGAGTTCCGCATTGGGCTCCCTGCTCAGTGGGGAACCTGCTTCTCCCTCTGTGCCCCCTCCCCCCAGCTTGTGCGCCCTCCCTCTCTTTCTCTCTGACGAATAAATAAATAAAAAATCTTAAAAAAAAAAAAAGAAAATACGCTGGTGATAGCACTTATTTTTATGAAGTTACTTGAGATTTTTGAAGAATTTCTATGTGGGAACAAAATTTGATGTTTGAGCACATGGTAAAGGAGTCAGTTTTAAACTGATTTGACAGCAAATGGATTTGTTGTCACTGATACTCTTAAGAATATAACATGCCATCATTATCAGGTCAAACCTCAACTTAGGGGTACACTTTCCCTCCTAGGACTAATGGAATATCTCATCACAGCCAGAGTTAGTGGCTATTTAGGCAGAGAATGGATAGCAATTACATTCCAACAGGGAGTAAGGGTTTCCATGAGGTCTTGTGCTACATGCAGAAAGTAGCTCTTTAAAAAGGTCCAAGATGGTACATTATAATTCAGTTGGTATAATGCAGAAACTACTTTTATGTATGTATGTATGTATGTATGTATTTATAAAGATTTTTTATTTTTAAGTAATCTCTACACCCATCACGGGGCTCGAACTCACAGCCCTGAGATCAAGAGTTGTGTGCTCCACGACTGAGCCAGCCAGGTGCCCCGAAAACTTTTACTTTAATTTATTTGTATTATTTTTTAAATATTTACTTATTTATTTTTAGAGAGAGAGAGTGCGATGGGGTGGGGAGGGGGAGAGAGAAAAGCAGACTCCCCACTGAGCATGGAGCCAGGACCTTGAGATCACTGCCTAAGCCGAATTCAAGAGTCAGACGCTCAACCAACTGAGCCACACAGTCCCCCCCCACCCCCCCACCAAACTACTTTTAAAGTACTTTGTAGAATACTGTTTTGCCTTGGAAGCTAGAGTTTTGCTTTTTTTTTTTTTTTTCTCTCAATTTGTGAATAAAATAAAGCCTTGCTGAGAGCAAACAGGGATGTAGTCTCTCTTTAGCCTGTCCCCTCCACAGAAGTACATTGTTCTCCCTATTGAGGCTTCAGGGCTTCTGGCTCCAGGTCAGGGGGGCATGCACCCATCATAGACTAACAGTAGAAGCTGGGTTAACTTGGAGAAATTAGCTAAAATGTTGGAGACATGTATTCTGCATTTGTATTCATTTTTAGTATGATTGTTGCAGATTTAAAAAACTCGCCGTAGCTTGAGATGCCTTAGCTTTAATGTGGTTTGGAAATGTAGTTTAAGGACCTACATAATAGGCTTCTCTTTTACTAGATGTAGGTAGTTCAAGATCTTTAAAAGATTAAAACTGATCCTATCTGGTTTGGGGTGGAGGGGGGCTCCCCATTACATGAGGGCTCGTTGTCCTCTTGAGATCTAGGCTCTCATATTGCTGGAGGTTCCTTCTGCTCCCTCTTTCCCATTTATCTGCTGATTTGTGTCTCCACCACAGAGCAGTATATAAAGACAGACCGTGAGTTTATAGATTTCTCCTTCAGGTGTTATTCATTCATTCATTCAACAACTATTTTGCTGGGTAGTTCCTATGTTCTGGGCACTTTTCAAAATCCATCTATTTGGAACACATTTGATATACATTGTTCCAAGTACTAAAGTTACAAAGATACATCAACCATTATTTCTTGTGTGGGAGAAGATAACTTCAGGGAAAGTTTCCAGTGAGATGAGTTACAGTTTTCCATGAAGACAGATTTAGTTGGAGGAGGAGGAAAATTCCAGGAAAGAAAAGAGCATAGCTAAAGATCAAGAGGCTTGAATGGAGGGAAAGCATGAGTCAACCATCATTTGAGGCTGTTACAATAACATTTGTGAATACTGTACTGACCTTCTCTAAAAATTCTCTGTGTTACTGATGTTTAATAATTTCAGTGATTTCTGTTGGTTATCGCTATAAATAAATTAGAGTAATTCGTTTTGAAAAGATTTTGTTTATTGAGAGAGAGTGAGCGAGCACAAGTTGGGGGAGGGAGGGGCAGAGGGAGAGGGAGAAGCAGACTACCCACTGAACAGGGAGCCTGACGAGGGGGGCGGGTGGCTCTATCCCAGGACCCTGGGATCATGACCTGAGCCAAAGGCAGACACTTAACTGACTGAGCCACCCGGCAGCCCCAGATCAGAGTAATTTAAAGATTCAAAGATATTGATACAAGTGTACACAGTCTAGCAGTTTAAGTAAAGATATCAATCTGTTTTATGATATGGTGTTGGAATAACTGACTTCTTGATGAAGCCTTGAGGTAATGTGTACCAAAGCATTTTCCTCATTACACACTGAATAATTGATAGTTGACAATATGTGACATTTATTGAGCATCTGCAATTCACTAGCTAGTTTACAGAGCACAGAAGCATCAAAGGATCCTGCCCCATCGACTCACTATCAAAACTCAGTCTGTCATTTGCTGAGTCTCTTCCATGCTTCACTCAACTAAAAGCAAAGAAAGCATTTCTAGAGACTCGCCGCAGGAGTGAATGGGCCCATATTTTCTCTACAGGTAGCTCTGTGGGCATTAGTATTAGTTCCATAGGGAAGCAATCGTTTCCCGTGGTTCTGGTAATCTCAGAAGATAAACTTGATGATCTAGGAGAGATTCAAAGTAAAGGCTGTTCTATCATTTCATGATGCTTTTTCTGCTAAGACCTGCAGGTGAGCCCTTGCAGATGTGACTTTATCAGGATCAAAATGTAAGTGCAGGTGTTTCAGTCCGGTACCTATAAAAACAACAGTTGGTTTAGCTTTAAGAGATTTAAAGTATCGCTTGAAATTCCTGCTTCCCTGGGGAAAAAGGAGGGGATTTAAGATAAAGGAGAGGAATATGGAAGAGGGCATATAAAAATGGAATACCATGGGAGGGTAGGGGAACTGGGGAGAGTAAACTGAGAGTTTTGGGTTCTGGGTTGGAAGTGGCAGAGGTTAGAAGGAAGGATGGAAGGCACGGTGCTGGATAAAAATGGCAGCAATCCTTCCTGTTAATTGGTTTGGGCAGCTGTGTTTGTTTGCTAGGGCTTCCATAAGGAATATCACAGACTCGGTGGCTTAAACAATAGAAATTTATTTCTCACTGTCCTGGAGACTAGAATTCAGGATCAAGGTGTTGGCAGTTTTGGTGTCCTGAGGTCTCTGTTTGTGGCCCTTTATTGGCTGCCCTCTTGCTGCCTCTTCACAAGAACATCCTCTGAGCACATGTACATCCCTGGTGTCCTAAAGCCTCTTTTAAATATACCAGTCAACTTGGATTAGGGCATACCCTAACGGCCTTGTTTGAACTTAATTACCCCTTTAAAGGCCCTATCTCCAAATTCAGTCACATTCTGAGGTATGGGGGTTAAGGATTCAACGTATGAATTTTGGAGGGACCCAATTCAGCCCATGACAAGTAGCAAAGAGAAAAATCCTTCCAATGTGGGTAGTTCTGCTTCTTCTAAGCCTTGTTTCTGCTTAAGGAATAGGAGTGTTTGGGAGGTTGATAGAGGATATTTGAGGGGAAGAAGGGCCCCCATGAGGATTTGTCAGCTGGTGATGTCTTTCCTTGGTGAGATTGCCTTTCTCTCTTAGATGGAGGAAAGTTCTTCTATAGTTCCCTTCTCCATCTCCACTGAATTTTCCCATCCTCGGAATTCAAGAATTGTTCAAGGATTTGTATCTCTGACTCATGTGTTGATTTTAATGTAAAATGTTAGTTCTCCTTCCCACTGAGGTCGACCAACAAGTTGATGGGTTCATTCCTTTTCTCATGGAAGGAAGATGTAACAGGGCAGGTGCATACGGGCAAAAGTGAGTTAAGGAACTTGGCAGGAAGACTTCTATACCACAGCAGCATTGGTTTCATTTGTAGGCTATTAAGATGGAATCCACAAATTTCTCATGAGCCCTAAAACTAGATGATTTGGTTTATTCCTGGTTATATAGTAGGCATTAAATACATTATTATAGTCCTTTTTCTTGTTATCCATTTTTTTTTTCAAGGAAACCTGAGAATATGATCTTTTGGAACTAGAAAATCAAGCCTAGCGCATGTTTCAAGGCTCTTGTAATTGTGATTATCCCCATACAGAGGGTTCCTATGAGGAACAGACATTTAATTTTTTTTTTTTTTTAAGATTTATCTATTTACATGAGAGAGGGAGAGAGACAGAGAGAGAGCATGAGCAGGGGGAGGGGCAGAGGGAAAGGGGATGCAGACTCCTCACTGAGCCACTAGGGGCTCAACTCGGGGAGGGGGGCAGGTGCGGACGGGGAGGGCCTGAATCCCATGATCTGGAGACCATGACCTGAGCCAAAACCAAAAGCCAGATGCTCAACTGACTGAGCCACCCAGGTGCCCCAGGCATTTAACTTTTAATAGAGGTATAATGGTTACAGAATCTCAGCCTCTTTTGATGTCCTCTTTATGTTCAAGAGATGTTATATTCTCTATAGTCACCACCAAACCTTCTGTTTAGGATTATCACTCTTTGGGTTATTCTAAATGATAATTTAATGCTATAAAGAAGAGAACTTTAGGTAGAGACAAGAATGGAAGGGTAGTTCTGAAAAGGAGGATGAGAAAAAGGAAAAGAGACTATAAAACCAGAAAGAATAAGCAGCATTAGGACTCAGTCCAAGATAATTAAACAAAGGTATTTCATGTTCTGACTGAGAAACAGGTACAAAGATGAGACCATGACAGAGATTGGGGGTGCGTCTGTATACCAGGAGAAGGTGAAAAACCAAAGAAGGGGTAGGTATATGACCAACTGTATAGTATTCTATCAGGCACCCAGCTATCTTGAAAAAAGTTTTGAACTCCTAAGTTGATAAAATTAACTGGGAGCAAAATTTAATAAATCCAGTCAAGTCTAATGAGCCTGGTCATTTGGACTCTTTAGCATATGATAGCATGCCTCTTTCTAGGGAAAAGTCCTGCTAGTGGGAAGTTGATAATAATAACTATTCATCCTCTCTGGTATTTATGGGATTTTTATCTCTAAGAATTAGATACAAGAGGAAGGGAGATACCACTCTGGAGTGGTGAGATCTACTCCAAGTATCACTCTTCATTGGTGAGTGGCAACCTAGTGATGGGGTCTCTTAAATGATGGAGTGAGTAGTTTTGGCAGGAAATGATGTTCTGAGTAAGACAACAACCCGATTTACCAATTCAGTGGCTAGTGATCACAAGGTAGAGAGTGCTTCTTTTAGGAATGGGGAGGGACAAGTGGGAGAATTAAGGAGAAAGAAATAACCCCCCAAAAGAAAAAGAGACTGAGAGAAGCATGTTACAGAGACTGATGCAAAGTCAGGAGGCTACTGTGAAAAAGATTCAGGCTCTAAAACAACCACTCACTTTCCACCTCTAACTTCCCTGTGCCATACCGAACCTGAATTATTTGAGGTGAAAAGGTATGGAATTTGGAAGCCTGAGATATGTGGATTCTCAATCCTGATATGCACACTTCACATCAAAGCCTTTTGGCATTTTGTTGTTGTTGTTTAGATGTTTTCTGATAGCATTAAATGCTATCACAGACCAGACCCAGGAAGATGCTCCATCATTAACCACACCAGGAGGATGATGTCCGAGAGCGGGCTGCCCTCTCTGGACACTAATCTAGTCCTCATCCAAGGTGGAAACATCCAGCAAATGCCTCCGAGCCAGAAGAGCAAGAGATAACATCAGTGTTTCAACTTGGAAGTAGCTTCTTCTCCCTTCAGCTCACAGTAATTCTCCACTGCACCCTATTATTTCTTCCAGCAGGATCTGTGAAATGAAAGTCTTTATGCCTTGTTGAAGAAATTTCAGGCTACAAATAAAAAGGAGGTGGAGTGTTGGGCTGATGGCAGAAGATCCATGACATCATATCACAGGCTCATTTCTTTCACATGTTGGATTTTTTCATTCCTTTATCGTTAAGTTATAGTTTTGATGCAACACAGATAATTTACATTCAACAATAAAACAGGGGTGCCTGGGTGGCTCAGTCAGTTAAGCATCTGTCTTTGGCTCAGGTCATGATCCCAGGGTCCTGTCAGTGAGCCCTATGAGCAGGGAGCCCGCCTATCCCTCCCCTCCCCACCCATGCTTTCTCTCTCTCTCTTGCTATCTCTCTTGCTTTCAAATAAATAAATAAAATCTTTTAAAAAACAATAAAATAAATAAAACAAAAAACTATTTAAAAACTGTTGTGTAGCTTTGTTTATAGACAAAAGCTGTGCCTGCTCTAACTTCTTTTTTTAATTTTTTTATTACAAGATTCTTTGAGCTTAACTCAGATCAGAATTCTGGCAATTTGATATAGGAGGGATATGATGATAGTAAAAAATGTATATAGTAGTCAGCAAATTTTACATTAGAAACAAAAGTTTGAGTGTCTAAAACAGATCAGGCATCTTCTGGATGTTGTTGTGTTATGATATGAGGGAAAGACAATGAAATTATGGGCAAGAAAGATTCCTAGACTGAAAATTGTCTGTCAGAGAACATCTAGGAAGTCTGTTTCATTTCAAAGGTCTGCAATTTGGGTTAGCTAAGTAATTTTAAGAGTTTTTTTTTTTTCCCCCACAGCAGGAAAAATGTGCTTACCTCTTTCTTTGAATTACCAGTTATTCATTGCACGTCTGTAAGTACTATGAGCAGAGGTCAAGGTACGAGTCTTCCTTACATGTGTGAGGTTTTTTCCACCTTTGAACTTTTAAAAAGACTTTTATTACAGAGCACCCAAAAGATCAAAGTGTCTTATTTCATTACCTTGCATTCTAATAATGCACTAAATTTGGCTATTTGCAATTTTTTTAAAGATTTTATTCATTTATTTGACAGAGAGAGAAAGAGAGAGAGCAAAGCAGGGGGAATGGCAGAGGGAGAGGGAGAAGCAGGCTGCCTGATATGGGGCTTGAACCCAGGACCCTGGGATCAGGACCTGAGCTGAAGGCAGTCACTTAACCGACTGAGCCACCCAGGCACCCCTATTTGAAATGGTTTTTGAAGGGGTTTTGTTGAAAGAAGGTGGAACCAGTGTGAGAGGAATCTGGATGCATTATTCCTTTCCTTTCATTTTCTTTCATTTTTTAAAAAAGATTTTATTTTTAAGTAATCTCTACACCCTATGTGGGGCTTGAACCCACAGCCCTGAGATCAAGAGTCACATGCTCCACTGACTGAGCCAGCCAGGTGCTCCCTTTCATTTTCTGTGAACGAATCCCAGAAAATACAAACACAGAAAACACTGTCTTGTGGTTTCAGGTCGAAGCTGGCATATGATAATTCTTGGCGCCCTACTGAGTGGATATACAGCCTCAATTCAGAAACTAGGTATTAGTATCTAAATGGAATTTCTGTACAGAAAATTTTCTTTGCAGATTTTTTTTGGTCAGTCTTGACAAATATTAACTTATATCCGCAAAATGTGCATTTCCCCATACATTTTCATATGTATGTCTTTTTTCCTGGTGTCTCTAACTGGCTTCTCCTGTTCTCATGAGTTCCTCAGCCTCTGATTTCATACACAAAGCTCAATAACTTCACTAATATTTCCTGTAACACAAAATTATATTTTCTTGAAAAATGACAGCTTGTTGTTAGCTAACTCTACTGAAGACAGGAAAACCATGTATGTGTGCCTTTTTTTTTTTTTTTTTTAATTTCGGGAAACCACATATGTATTTAAAGCACATTGACAGGGGTACCTGGGTGGTTCAGTCAGTGAAGCGTCTGCCTTTGGCTCAGGTCATGATCCCAGGGTCCTGGGATCGAGCCCCATGTTGGGGTCCAGCTCAACGAGGAGCCTGCTTCTCCC